ATGCTCTTCTTAGAGATCAAGGAAGATATAGGAATAGAAAGAATGAGATAGCAACAAATGTTTTAGGTGTTTGCTCCCGTGACATGAGATTTACATATGTATTGCCTGGATGGGAATGTTCTGCAGCAGATAGTAGGGTTCTACGTGATGCATTAGTTAGATCAGATCCATTAATTGTTCCCAAGGGTATGTGACAATTAGACTTATTGAGTGTTTTTTTTCTTTTAACTATAAATGAGTAACAATTTGTTGTCCAACGTTACAGGCAAGTACTTTCTTGTTGATGCGGGTTATGCAAATAGCCCCGTTTCTTAACTCCATATAGGGGTGTTAGATATCATCTTAGTGAGTGGTCTGCTAGTGGGAACAAGCCTCAAAATTTTAAAGAGTTATTCAACCTTCGACATTCAATTGCTCGAAATGTGATTGAAAGGACATTTGGTTTGTTCAAGAAGCGATGGGCCATTTTGAGAGATGCATCTTTTTTTGATGTTAAAACTCATGTCATGATAATTAATTCATGTGTCATCCTTCATAATCTTATTCGAGTAGAACAACCAAATGATCCTTATTTGGATGAAGTTGATGCTGAGATGCGAAGAGTACAGCATGAGGTTGATGATGAAGATGAAGATGAGGAAAATGGAATGGAAGATGATGGTCCAAATAATGATGGTGGCGTAAATGCTATTAATGAGAATCGAATTCGAACAATACAACCAATCAGGGAGTGGACACAATTTAGGAATGTTTTAGCACGAGCAATGTTTATTGACAATCAAATTAGACAAGGCTATCATGGAAGTTGAAATTTGATAGGAACTTATTCGGACTTAATTTAATATTTGAATGGCCATTTATTGAAGAATAGTAGCAATGTATAATTGTGCTTCTCTCTCTCTCTCTCTCTCTCTCTATTTTGCTAAAATCACTTTGTTTGCATATTCATCTATTGAAATTTCTTGTAAGATACAAAATTCAAATTTTTATAATAGGCACAAACTATGACTTTCCTTCCCAATTAATATCATAGAGTAGGCTTTTGATTTTCTAAAATTTAAAGTTCTTAGCTTTATAAAAAGTATCAAGGTTTTAACTTGATAAATATTAATTACTTTTTAAATTAGAATATATAGTTATTTTTTATTTAATATAATTTAATTAAGAAGAAAAGAAACAAAAATAATATTTTTTTTGAAGAAAAGTAACTAATTTTTTTCTTTAAAGCTTTAGCAACAATTAGTTAAATGCAAGAAAAAATAAATTATTAAAGGCACTAATTGCTTTTTTCCTTAAAGCTTTAGTAACAATTAGCTAATTGTTAAAAAAATATTATATAGTAAAGGAAAAAGAAAATTTTTATGTAAGCAAATGTTAGTTGGAAACAATTCTAATTCTTAATGAATTCTTCTCGCATTCAAACAAAGAATTTGGAATTCCAAATGAATTTTATATCAATTCTATGCATTTCCCAAACAAAAGAATTCCAACGTTTTGGAATTCCAATTCCTAGAATTATAATTCTATAGAATTTCAATTCCAATTCAATTCCAATTCTGTTGAACCAAACGCACCCTAAGACAAATTGTTGATCAATGACAACATCTAAACTACTGAAGCGGAGATGGAGATTGGGAAACAATTTCAATTTAACTGTGCATACAATAGTTTGAATTCCTAACCCAACAATCAAGAATACATCCTATGTGTTGCACAATAATCTTGCCAAGTGGCAACCCAAAATATAATTTGCGATTTTGGCTACATTACAAGGCTCAACACATTGAATTCTGTTTAATTTATCAAACTTAATTCTCATTAACTTTTTTTTTTTAGTATAGGCAGGAGAACTCGAACTCGAGACCTCTCACTTACACTCCCTCCCCCCATACCACCCAACCCAACCCTCCCCCTAATTCTCATTAACTTGTATACTTTCTAGTCCACTATTTTTTTTTCTAGCAATAGTCCACTAATGTTACGAAAGAAGAGCTAAGCGCTATACCTCGTCTTTCTATATATAAAAGCATGAAGGGTGACCTCTGGTTGATTTTTTTTTTTCATTTTATTATATCAATTTTACCCTCACATAAGTAAGAATTTACATTTAATCGTCACGGACAAATTGTTGGCAGTTATTAACTTCCAATACTTTTTACTATTTCAATGATTTCTATAATTTTAATTTTCACTATCTTTTTTTACTTTCCTTTACATTAGACTTCTGATTATTACTACTCTTATATTATAAAGAAAAATATTTTTTAATATGCACACCTAACGATGTTCTTTTCCCACCAGTAGAGGTGGGCAAAATTATCTGCTAACCCGGAAATCCGTCATATCCGATCCGATCCGATCCGAAAATTAAGATATCCAATTTTTATTATTTGATCGAGTCAAAAGAAGGTCGGGTATCCGCTAAGATGCGGGGCGGGTTAGGGTCACATAAGAAGGTCGGGTACCCGATCCGTCCCGCATATATATATTTTATTTTTATTTTTATTTTTATACACACACTATAAAATAATAAGTTAGAACTAAATAAGTAATTTTATTGAACAAATTGCATTACAAATATGAGAGACTATAGTTTATTTACAAGATTCATTTGTAAAGGCCAAGATCTTATATTTTATAGAAAAAAGTTTAATTAATGTGGACCATATATATTAAAAATTGTGCTACTTATTTCAAAATTTTATTGATTTTGAATTCGTTTAATTTTTTTTCTTTATCTTATATTCTCTTCATATGCTTGTTTCTTGGTGAGAAACATTTTTTTTAAAAAAAATTATTAAATCTTAGATGAATGTGTAAAATATAAAATTAAATTAGCATAAATCATTTTTTTTTAAAAAAATGATAAACGGGACGGGACGGGTACCCGCTGATCCGATCCTATCTCAGTAGGTACCCGTTATAGAGTACCCGCTGATATGCGGGGAGGGTAAGGGTCAGAAAATGACTGACCCGCAAGGTACGGGTCGAGTCAGCCAAATGATGAATGGGACGGGTATCTGACCCGCGCCCACTCCTACCCACCAGTTGTAATTAAGTATGAAGAGTGCCTTTTGAAATAGTACAAACTCGTATTAGTTCTCAAAATTCGGTGCAGATCCATGGTCATAAATAACTTATTCTTGCCTGGGCATTATCAAGGCTTAACGGATGGTTTTATCCAGTGTTGTATTTGGGCATAACTTGGGAATACATTTGATCTTAACTTTTAGGAAAAGTCTTATAGAGGCAAAAGTCCATATTCTTAAAAATTTGCTTGAAAATTTTTTTTGTAAGGAAAATATTTGGGTGGGTTCAACAAATCATGCCTTCGAAACCATAAATCAGGTATAAAGTTTCTTATAAATCACCCGCTAACACAACCTTTATATCGGCAGAGAACACATGAGCTTTTATGAAAAATTTTACTTGATAATACCGTACTGCTACTATATTTTGTAGAAATAGAACCCATGGAGAATTTAACCGTCCGAAAACTTGACGTGGTTTCAAAGGTTAAGAGTTTGTTTTCTAATTAATACTATGGTTAGAGAGAATTTTTTATTGAACAAATAATAGTACAATTTGGAAAGAAATAATCATCAAATATGACAAAACAAATAATGATACATTTTAATTGCAGCACGCACTTGTACACTTTGTTTTATCAATATTTTTACAATTTTACCATTCCCAAAAGATTTCTACATATTTCAATTGAAAATCGGCCAAGAGCAGACATAAATTGTTTTAGAAGAAATATCCTCCAGTGGCTATTTATAGCAACGTGTTAATTATACAACGTGTCAATATGTCTTTGAGTTAATTGCACAAAAGCCACATTCCAATTAAATGTGTCTATAACATCATTTCAATAATTATACCAACACAAAAACTTATATGAGTTGTACACGATGCAAAAACGATTGCAAAATAATTCCATATTTCAGAAATACCCAAATGACTCCATAAATCAAAGATTTAAATGTATCAAAATGAGGGTATTTCAATAAATATATCTAAATATATGATGCTCCTCAATTGTACCAAAAGGTTTAAAAAAAAACTACACAACATTTCGTATTTAAAAAAAACCCCTATTAATGCAATTGAAATTCAAACCCTTTTTTACCACAACTCATTCTTATATTCTTATACAGTATAAGGATACGAAGGTTGGAACTAATATCTATTCTTTCTTTTTGCGAGGATTGAAATTCTAATTCCACCACAATTTAAGTCATTGAACGGAAAAGATCAGGCTTCTTTCAGTTTTTTTTTTTTTTTTAAATTTTTTTGAGGGGGCAGCAGTCAAGTAGCAATCATCCTATATTACTTTTTTAAGAATAGAAATTTTCTGCTGGTAACTAGTTAGAGAACTAGGAGCACGATATTGCTGACCAACACTTGGTAATAAGTGTGGGTATAGAGTTAAAAATTCATCTACCGTATATGACTTCAATGAAAAAAGACAAACCATTCCCCCAGTTCTCCCACCACGTGGCAGCCATGCACGCTAGATCAAAACCTTCAACTAAACGGACGAATAATGAGTTATTATATATAATTTGTTTTCTTGATTTCGTTATCTAATTTTTTCTTTTGATCATTAGGGAACCATCGAAGCTGTGACTGTTTGCATTTGTTTAGATATGTAGGAAATCATGTAGTACTTCTTAACATAGTGAGTTCGGCACCGTAACGTCGTATCATTCAAAGTTAATTGTAAACCCTTGGTACTTAATCTTGTCAATAATTAATTATCAGGATTTTTTTTTGTTTTGATAATAACTTCAAAAAAAACTTGATGGAATTTGTGGTGTTTCTGAACGTCGAGTGAACGAGCTATTTGTATAATGCAGCACGATTTTGATAAAAATACCTGAGGATTCCTGACTGTCAAGTCACGAATCCTAAGTACAGTCCGATGTAAATGGCAGTAAATATCAGTAGAAAGAAAAAAATTTTGAAAAATGAGATTAAAAAAAAAAAAAATCTTGTATCTGGACAACAGATAGCAGATAATGTGATCAAATTGAGCACACTCGGCTCAGCTTACTAGACTAGAACATTCAAATGATCACAAGGAGAAACTACTCAAGCTAGTTAGGTAACTGGAAGATGCTTTAATTATACGTATGGAAAAGTGCGATTGGCGTTAATTTTTGGTGTTCATGCTGCGCTCGACTTTCTCAGCATTATGTTTTGCGAACTCCTTGGCTTCTTCGGCCTTGCCAACCACCGTCTCTTTGATTTTTTGAGTGGTGTCCTTGACCGAGTCCCAGGCTTCTTGTGCCGTCTGCTTCGCTTTATCACTCATGTCTTTTGAAGCTCCGGCCACCTTTCCGGCCACATTCTTGGTTTTCTGCATCACCTTTGTTTATTTCACAACAGAGACAGGAGACACGCATGCCGTTAGAAATAAAACCAAGATCATCCTTGATCAAGCAAGCAATTTTAACAGGAATCAATGATCATGAACTAAGTTGATCATCATTGCTTATATATATATATATACACACACACACACACACACACACTATATATATATATATATAGAGGCAATATTATCAGAATGATTTTGTACGGACTGATGAGTAGTAATTACTGGTAACTCACATCCTCTGCGTTAGAAACGGCCGCGTGTTTCATTTCTTGGCCGGCTTCCTTGGCCGCCTCAGTTCCTTGTTTGGCTGCTTTGCTGCCTTGTCTTGCTGCATTGGCTGCCTGTTCGTATGCAGCAGTTGTCGCATGCCGCCTAGTTGCCTGCTATCATGAATTATATTAGTAGACTACTACCAATTAAGAGCATTGGCTCACCCCTTGCAAGCCTTCGCTGGATCACTACTTTTGTTAAGTTTTTTTTTTTTTTCGACAGATCATATTTTTAAGTTGATATATATATAGAAAGAGAGAGAGAGAGGATTCACCTGGAAAGGCTTAATTGGCGCAACACCTACGAAAATCCTAGAGCTCCAAGGCCTGCGCACGATGATTGCTCTTGAGGTTTGGAACTTGAAGAGGGTGGTGGTTAGAGCCATGCTTGCCATCTTAATTATGTTTGAGCTTTTCCTAGGCCTCAATAACAGAAATTGCTGTGAAATACTAGTAACTTCACCTCTAGTTTGCTTTCGTCTTTCGATTAGTCCTACTACTGGGGATATAAATAGGGAGATCAAGGATAGCTCATGTGGCTTTCCTCCAGAGCTATGCACAATTTTCTCGTACCAATGGTTGAAGAAGAATAATTTTGCTGATCCAATATTTAAGGGTCGACAATTATTTGTTTACCGGGTTTTAGGCCAGATAATGTATCCCTGTTTGGTCACGGGAAGCTGAAATTAGAAATGGCGTTGCTGACACATAATTACCCACCACTATAATTTCCCTCAATTTTCCTGTGCTTCAAGATCGATATTGTTCGCAAGTCTTTTAACACGAGCTAGCTAGGAAACTTTTAATCTTTCACCATACGTAATTGTGATTAATTGACAAAACAATTCATGATCTTTCAAATCATATTTTTTATTTGGACCAACTATCATTAGAATAGTTGGCCATCACAGAAGATTCAAGTCTTTGCGAGACGGGAGGTTAAAGGTTCAAATCTTGCCTTCCGTTTCTCTCCATGTGAGTGCATCTTTGTGAGATGGGAGGTTAAGGTTTAAATATTACCTTTCATCACTTTATCAGTATGTAGCTGCTCCAATTCCATATGGGTGCGTAGTGCACTCGTATGGTCCAATAATAATTCAGTTCCTGTCAGTTTCCATTAGACTATTTGGATCACGCCCTAGAATATATAGACTTAGAGTAGATGTAGGAGTAGATGTAGGGTGGATGGTGACGATTGATTTTTAAAAAAAAATTCTGATTTTGATATATATATGCCCCAGTACATGTTCTTTTCCCCCTTGTATTCTATGTAATTCCTATCCCATGTATTCGTAAAAATTGCGGGTCTTAAAACGCCCAAAAAGCCCAATGCATCCACTGGAAAATCTTCTGCAATGCCTTTGAGAATCAGGTGAACACCAATTTGTGCAAGAAACTTCCACACCTCGTCCGCTAAAATTTTCAAAACATTATCAAGGAACAAATGTACCATTTCTACTATGGAGTTACAAATCTGCAGCTGACTAGGCCATGATTTGATTTCTTTTGGTTTTTTGTTTCACCCTAAGATATAGTTGCCTCTAAAGAGTGCTAAATATGCTACATCAAGGGATCATTATTCAAGCTTTAAGCCCTCATCGTCGTTCAAATTTCAACAACGAAATTGTTCAAACACCTTGTGGCCCAAAAGGGTTTATTCTAAGTCTAGAAGTAGTACTATAATTGTGAGGCTAAAATGAAAAATTTGGACAAAATTTGAAGGACAATTTTGAGAGCTCTCCACTGTTTAAGTCAAGGAATAAGACAATTATGAGAGCTATTCATCTAAAACCAACTTTTCCACTGGAGGAGAAGAATGCAGCAATGAGGATGCGGTAAAGCTTGAATTGTGACTTTCCAAGCACAAGCTGTTCATAGTTGTTGATGATGGCCCTCCTCCATGATAAACCTTATCATTGTCTTTTCCAGTTCCCTTGTGCTCATTAGCCTGAGAATCTTTGAGCAGCATCTCAACTTTCATGTATTCCTCTTTCTCATGTTTTATTTCTTTGAGCATTGCTGCCACATCCTTCATAGTTGGCCTATCATCTGGTGATGGATTTACACAAAGCACAGCCACTCCAAGGATTTGAGTCATTTCTTCAATTTCTGATTCAGGCCTGGAAAGTAAGCTGGGATCCAACAGCTCTGCACCTGCCCTTTTTTGTCTTACCCAGTCCACAATGTGTAGCCCGTCAGGTATTGTGGGATCGATTGGTTGCTTTCCTGTTAGAATTTCTAACACTACTACTCCATAGCTGTATACATCGCTTTTCTCCGTGATTTTCATCATGTAACCATATTCTGCAAGAACAGAAACGATCGACAAGCAACCATAATTTGTCACATCACTTAAAACACTCAAATCAGTTTGGGGAAAAAAATTGCTAAATTTGGACTAACCTGGTGCAATGTACCCATAGGAACCGGCAACAGTTTTGGAAGAACGAGCAAAGTCTTCATCATCAACGAGTTTTGCCAGTCCGAAATCAGCAATGTAGGGCTCAAATTCAAGACCAATGAGAATGTTGTTTGCCTTGATGTCCCTGTGAACAATTGGTGGAACACAATCGTGGTGTAAATAAGCCAAGCCTTGAGCTGCACCTAGGATGATCTGATACCTCAGTTCCCATTCCAGGCAACCACTGCTTCTTTCATGGAGGAGACTTCCCAGGCTTCCATTAGGCATGTAATCATACATCAGCAACTTTGTATTCTGATTCCAACAGCAACCCAAGAATCTAACAATGTTTTTATGACGAATTGAACCCAGTGTCTTTACTTCGGTGGAAAAAGAATCGCGAATCCCACCCGTAGCTCCAAGTTGATCATTTTGGCGGCTGTATCCTACAGCCATTGTTGATGTCCATAGTTTCTTCACAGCAATAACTTCACCGTTATCCAGGTCTGCACGATAAACAATTCCAGAACATCCCTTTCCAATCACGTTGGATTCCACCAAGCATTTCAGAACTTGATCCACTGTGAAATTTAATTTCTGGAATGGACTAAATTGCCAAGGGGAAATGTCCCCTCCTCCCAACTCATAATCATTATCTTTTCTCTTCAAAGTTCGAACATGAAAAACTGCAAAGAAACCTAGAACTGCCAAGGCCACCGCTAAAACAGCAAGTAGAGCAATTGCAGTTTTCAGTTTCCAGGATCGTCTAACATCTTTGTTCTTTGGCATTCCCATGCCTGGTCCACTGCTCAAGAAGCAAGAATCATGCCCCAAAGAACACAAGCCCTGGTTCCCTGCCAGTTCAGTTGCTGATAACTGTCTGAACAGCTTATTGTCCGGAAGATAACCTGTGAAGTTGTTGTAAGAAATATTCAGGGAAACTAGGTTTTCTAGCCCGGAGAGAGCCATCAATTCTCCTTCAAGTTTATTGTGTGACAGGTCCAGCACAGAGAGTTTGTTTAGAGCAGATATCTCAGGTGGAATTACCCCTGTCAAGGTATTCCAGCTCAAATTCAAAGCAATGTCCAGGGACTCAATTTTAAACAGTTCCATTGGGATATTGCCAGAGAGATTGTTGCCACTTAGATCAAGCAATTGGAGGCTTGTCAAGCGGTCCAGTGTTGAGGGGATTGACCCCGAGAAAGAATTTCTACTTAAAACAAGCCTATTAAGGGAAGTAAGTTGGCTATAACTCCCAGAAATCCGACCAGAAAAAGTGTTCAGAGAAACGTCCAAGACCTGAAGTCTACTTAGAGAAGATAGAGAGCTTGGCAGAGTGCCAGAAAGAGTATTGTTTCTCAGATTCAGCATCTGCAACGCTAGACAATTGCCAATCTCATCAGGTATTGATCCAATGAGATTATTATTAGAAAGGTCAAGAAAAGTGAGACTCCTCAGCAACCCAATTTCGCTTGGAATTTGTCCACTGATCTTATTATCAGTGAGACGTAATCGCATAAGTGAGCTACAATTACCTGTCTCGTGAGGGATAGAGCCTGATATATCGTTGGAAATCAAGAGAAGCTTGGTTAGATTTTTCAGCTGAAAGATGCCAGGGGGTAAGCTACCGGTGAGAAAATTGTGTGACAAATCCAGAGCTTGAAGACTTCTGCAACCAGCCAATCCAGGTGGAATGCTTCCCTCAAGCTTGTTCTGCCAAGCAAAGAAGATATTCAGCTCTGTCAAAAATCCGAGCTCCATTGGAATCGAGCCGGATATCTGGTTAGTATCTAGCTGTAGTTGTGTCAGACTTGTAGCATTAGAAAGAACAGGAGGAATAGAACCAGAAATATTGTTGTTACTAATCATCAACTCCAACAGGTTGGTGAGGTTCCCAAATGACCAAGGAATGCTTCCAGTGAAAGAGTTCAATGAAAAATCAGCAATCAACAAACTTCTGCAGTTCCCAATTTCATCAGGAATATGCCCAACTAGATTGTTTTGCCACAATAACATCTTCTGAAGTTTCTGAAGCTTGCCCAGCTCTGCTGGAAGCGAACCTGATAAATTGTTCTCATTCAAATACAAGTCAACTAGCTCTGAGCAATTGCCTATATCCGAAGGTATTTCCCCTGAAAGCATGGTAGTATAAACTGACAATACTTGAAGATTTCTTAGCATGCCCAAAGATGCAGGAAGAGAACCAGAAATTTTAGTATCAGCCAGACCCAGCACTACCAAATTCTGGCAATCTCCCAATTCGTCAGGAATTTTACCATCAATTTCTTTGTTCCCTCCAACTCTTAGGACCACCAGAGATGCAAGCTTTCCTAGTTCAACGGGAAGATTTCCACTTAGCTCATTGTCAAACAAAAGGATATTTTTTAGGCCGATGCAATTGCTAAGCTCTGGTGGAATGTTTCCAGTAAGTTTATTGGAGTGCAGTGTCAAGTCCTCAAGATTCTGAAGCTTACTAATGGTGATTGGGATGCTGCCCACAAGACTGTTTGAACTGATATCAATAGTTCTAAGGGAAGTGCAATTTCCAATCTCAAGTGGGATAGTCCCAGTAAGATTAGCACCAGAAATGATAAGAGTGCGGAGGGATCGGAGAGAGGAAAGGTTGGAAGGAAAAGGAGTGGCAAGCTGGATGGATTGAATGTTGATTTCTGTTACAAAATTATCAGAAGAACATTTAATGTAGGCCAGTTACAAGGATTAGAGTCTAAGGAATTCCAGTCTGAGAAGGAAGAAGGTGGTGAAGGAGAGGTTTGAAGCCAAGAAAACAGAACGACAACTTCATTATTAGCGGCTTCTGCCACAGCTTGCGATAAAACAGAGAGCAAAAGGAGGAGATAGCAGTATTGAAGGTGGTGGTGATTTTGATGGTTGAGAGATTGCATTTGCCTAGGCATTGGCATTTGCATTGGCCTCAAATCCCAATTCCAAACCTATCTTATCGGTTTTGCATTGGGTTTCTCGGTTCTTGAATTCACGTCCTCTATTAGTGCTGTGAATGCAGAAAGAAGCCAAGTATATTAGCACTACGAGTACTACTTTCCAGCTTTGCAAGGAAGCAAGAAAAGAAGAGACAAAGAAAGAGGGTGCAATAATTATTAAAGATTAGGAATCACACCAGCAGCTCCACCTCCCATCTTTCACCTCGGGGTTCTGCTTTCCTGTTTTCTTCCCTATGTACTAGTAGTAGTATTATATTTTGAATAGCCATGGATAGACTGGTTCACGCTTGGCTAGGAGCAGAACCACAGCCATGTGTTCCTGCATTTTTCCTCAAAACAATCAGTGACATGGTGGATGGCTTTTTACCTTCATGGTATAATCATCCACAAATTTTCTCCATACAAATCACAGTTAACAATTTTCTTGATGCCTAACTCGCAAGATTTCCAGGACAGTGATTCCCATTCAATTCCTTTACCAATAATCTCCATTCTGGAAATAAAAAGCTTTTGTTTATTTTGGCTCTAGTCCAACTTTCCAATCCATAAATTACGCGGTAAAAGACACTTCCAAATCGTAGCCCTCCATTGCACCCTACCCGGAAAAAAAAAAAAAAAAAAAAAAAACAGAATCCTTCCAAAAGCTCTCCTTGGCATTGCTGGCAGATTTTGCATAAACAATTCCACAGGATTTGCAAATAGAAAAAGGAAGCTGGGCTAATGCTGGATTTGGTTGATAGCAAATTCCCGAGAATCCCAGTTGAAATTGAAGAACATAGTATTAATTTGTTGCAGATTTTTAGGCCTAACCACGTGGTGAAGGTATTCATTTTCAACCGTGCGTCAGACAACACATCATTCCTTTTGCAATACATTTCTTTCTTTCTTTCTTTCTGGTTTTGCCTATAGAGCTAAGTGACGAAGGAGGCCCGGCGCGCGGCGTTTAATCCCAGTTAAAGTCAGTCTCTTTCTTCTTCTTCTTTTTTTTGACTAAAAAATGCAGTTTTAGTCAATCTTCAAATGCAGTGGTTCCATTGGAATGGGGGGTGGTGTGGTAAGTATAATTGATTGAGGTCTTTTAAAGTTTGACATACTATTAATAAACCTACATTGACTAAATAAGGCAGAAATGAAGATTAAAATATAGGGGGCAAAGGTGCAGAGCCCATAGCCCTAGGAGAGGTGTGAGTCAAGTGACCTTGGAAACATCTCACCATTGGAATCCAATTCCCCCTTCTTGTGTACTATACTATTTAAACCCTATAATCAAATTATTCCCTTCCTCAGCATCCTCTTTTTTTTTTTTCTTTTTCTTTTTTTAAAAAAAAAATTCTCTTATCTGAACCTTCATCAGGCATCAATAACAAGGGGTGTCCACCCGACCGACGGAACAACGTTGTGATCTGGAGCAGTTCTATTAGCTCGACAAAAAGTTGAACCATAGCTGGTTCACACGATCACAGAGTACTCGAGTGGACGGTAACTATAAAGTTTGAAAAAAATATATTTGGTTTTTCATACTTGAGAATCATAAAATAATTAAACATCTAAAAAAAAGTCGTTTAAATTTACTTCATTATTTGTTAAAAAGATCACATAACTATTAGTAACTAGTGTTTTTTTTTTTTGGTCGGCGGGGCGAGGAGTGGGGAGAATTTGGACGTTGCAGGATGCCATTGTTGAATTTGTTTCTCATGCGAACCGAAATAAGCCACTTACATGATGCCATGACTTGCTCACGTGGGGAGGATCAGACATGAGACGGGCTTTTTTATTCCGTATTCCAAAATCAAAGGAATCCGGGCCATCAATTGCTGCTCAGTTTTTCAATTTTCAGTGTGATTGGAACATCCTCTCATCAACAGCCGGCCAGATCCTGGCAAAATATACAGATCTTCTGTGTGGGTTGAGAAAATGATCCGTTCTTATCCATCCATTGAAGGTCCAACCAGGGAGAGACTTAAGTCCCTTCTTGGGTTGTAGATGAAGGTTCAAATCTTATCTACAGAAAAAAAAAATTTAAGGGTAGTGTCATAGCATTTTCTTGATTTAGTTGGGTCTGTATACCCACTAGCCTCTAACACAAACCCCCTTAGGCTCCACTTGGGATCCTCGGTGACATGTTTTCTATGCCAACCCAATGCCACCAATAGTATTGCGCCAAGTGTCTTGTTATTATTTACACTTTAATTTTCTAATAATTCAACTTGGCTTGGTTTAACACAAGTGTAAATAATAACATGACACTTGGCGCAACACTATTGGTGGCATTGGCTTGGCATAGAAAACATGTCACCGAGGATCCCAAGTGCTTAGGCTCCCCCTCTCTCCTCTCGCTCTAAATTAGGAGAGATTAGGTTATACAATCTATTGTTGCTCGGAAAAAAAAAAAAATTGAAGGTCCAACCTGTGTTGGCGATCAAATCTTCTTCAGTGTTTGTGATGGGCAGCCCAAAGTTCGGTAGGATTTTATTAAAGCCCAATATGGACTTTGCCCTCCTGTCTTCAGTCTAATTTCAATGTTTTCTGTGGAGCCCAAAAAGGCCCAAATTTGTTTACCAGAACAGTCCATAAGTTGTGGACCGTAATCACTCCATTTAAGCCCAAATTAGTCGCTTTTCTCATGCATTCCCAGCATCATTCGCCTCTTTTGATTTTCTGGTTACTATTTCCTGGCAAAATTTTCATCCCCCATAGGCCATACATCCACTCAGCGCTCCACGGCTCCACCGAGACGGAGAGATTTTAATTCCCACCCCATGATATACGATATAACGTCTTCTACTAGTTTATAGAGCATCTTATACAGCCACAAGAACCATTTTTTATTTATATATATATTTATTGAACGAATAAAGCAGTTCAAATGGCTTCAGTAAGCTTATATAGCAGTCCTCTTCTTGCCTATTTCACATTACTCTCCCAGCAGTTGTTGCATCAAAACTCAAGCTTTGGCTCTGAACAATCTCGCTTTCTTTCTTCCAATTCGGTTTTGAGGTTCAAAAGGCAAATTCTGGTGTCAACCGTTCAATTCAAGAAGTTGACGAGCCCCAGACCTCCTCAGGTTGTACCCACTGTTCTGTCTGCACAATCCAATTTCCTTAAAGGTAAGCTGCCACCTTCTGTTTCTAAAAATTTTCTTGCGTATTGGGTTTTTCCCAATTATTATACTTTGTTATGAGGAGTTCTGGTCAGTAGTCTAGTATTGGTTGTTGATATGTCTATCATGGTTGTTGGCATTTTTTTTAGCGGTTGGGCTTGGATTGCTGTCAAAAAGAAACATTTTTGGGGGATGTACTGTCATTCGGATAAAATGGACATTCTGGTGGCATGTTGTAAACCTTTGATAAATTGAATGTAGTTTGGTGCAAACTCCCTAGGTATGTGCGCAATTTGTAGTGGGACTGGATGACCTAAGGGCTGCTTCTATATGAATGAATTGGCTCAGCTACTTAAAGAGGTGAACTACTCTGAAGCTTTTGTGGGAATTGGAAGAAAGAGCGTTGTGTTTTTAGTGAGTGGAGGAAGGGTTATCGGTGTAGAGTAATCGATGCCTACATTTTGTTGGACAGTGTGGTGATAATGCATTGGACTATAAGGAAGTTCTTTGCTGTCCTGCTAGAGGAAAGTTTTCAAGTTTTGCTATAACAACATTGTTTAGCATTTCATTAACATTATCTGTCGATTTGCATCTCGAGTCTTAGTTCTATGTGTTGGTAGAATGGTATTTACCGTTCTTTTTCCTTTCGTGCCTTTGATTTTGCCAAGTTCTTGTACTACTACTCTTTCCTCTAATTATTTAACCGTGGTTCTCTCTCTCTCTCTCTCTCTCTCTCTCTCTCTATATATATATATATATATTTTTTTTTTTTTTGGGGGGTGAGGGAGTGGGTTTATGTTTATATCATCCTGGTCAACCAGTTGTTCGAACAGTATGGAAGGTTGGGATGGATGGAATTGAAGCAGGAACTAATCTTGTGCCTGTAAGTTTACCAGTCTCACTAGTGATTTTAAAGCAACTTACTTATTCAAACTGCGATCTCACAACCTTCTGCATTTTGTTTCTTGTTAGGGAGCTATCCCAAGGCCGCTAGCAAGAATTGCAGTAACTGTAGTTGCTCTGTCTATATCACTCATTGTACTCACGTCCTTCCTGTCTACTGCCTTCACCGTGCTGGTATGCTTTCATTCTGTTTTGTATCTCTTTTCTTTCTTTTATTTTTTTTTAATTTCACTATGCCATTTATTTGTTACTGTTGCTTCTTTATTCTCAGGACTACCACTAAATTTTGTTAAAGCTGTCAAAGTTGAAATGTATACTGAATTCAACATTTAATCAGCTAACGGAATTCCACTTGTTTGTGGGGATATGCGGTGTGTTAACTTGCTCAATATGCTACTAAACCCTGGGTATTACTTCTTTCACTTCATGACTTTACAATAGTGAGAAATAGAGTTTAGAAGATTTAAGGGAAAAAAAATTTGTCATTTTTACTAAGAATTGCTTGTTCACTTTCTGTCATGCTTTGCTGCCCTGAGGAAGTCAAGCAAGAAACTAGGAATTGGGATTGCTAATGGTAGGATAGCTATAATGACTATTGCTAAAGTAATATGTCTCTAACTTGGGAACACTGGAGTTTTATGCAGTATGTTGTTAGGAAAAGGATAAGATTTAGACGGGATTACCTTACCCAAGCAAAGATTCACCTTTTTTGCTTGTGATTGTATGTTCCTTCTGCTCAAATTCTGGCATTACATTTGCTGTGCAAGGAGTCAAATGCAGCCAATAATAAAACCTGTCTTCCTAATTTGTGAGCAGGCGATGATGGGACTCATTTACTTTACGTTCATAGCATTGAATAAAGATGAAGGCCCGAAAGGAGATGGAGGTACTACCTCTGTGGAAGACAGTCTTGAAGAAGCAAGAAAAATAATGGAGAAGTACAAGTAACTGAAGCACGACCAAAGATGTTGGTTCAGTCCTTCCAGAGAATTTTTAGCATACCTTTCTCAGATGAGGAGCTTTCGTATCTGAAGATGTACTCCTTCTTCTTCATTCACATGCACTTGGTGACGTGTAAATATGTGCGTAATAGCATAGTTTTGAAGTTACTCATTCAAGTTTTCGAAATGTGTACTTATTATTCTGTAGTTGTCTTGTGCTAATAGCTCGGCGGCTGCTAATTGTCCCAACTCATGAAATCCTCTAAAAGAAATAAATAACACAGCAAGGAGGTGGTGAAGAATCTTTGCATCTGCACGCTTCTTGTGCACGATCCCAGATTTGTGCTGATGTAAATGGAAATTGATAATCAACATGTGCCTCTTTATATATTGGGAATCCATTCCTCGCAATTGCGATATGTTGCATATGCAAGTAGAAAGAAACCAAAAGAAAACACAGTTAAAAGTACAACACAGAGAGGATTTTCATTACATCAAGAAAGAAGCTATATCAAGCCAGAAACGAATTCTCTTCTTGAACATGAAGGCATCACTCTTCCATGTTGATAATACATCTCAGACCCTCCCCTCTCAACATGAGCTCGAAAGCCCTGTTGATGTCGGAGAATGAAACCCGATGTGTAATGAATTTCTCCAGCTCTAGTTTCTGCAGGATTGTAAAATGATTTCGTGCAGCGTATCAGTACTTCTTTTTTTTTTTTTGCATGATAACGGGCAAAGTGAAATTGAATCTTCTGAGGCATTAGATAATCTGTTACTACCTTGTTCATGTACATTTCAACCACGGAAGGAAGATCAGTACGAGGTTTGTAATTCCCAAAGAAAGTTCCCTTAATTGTCCTCTCATTCAGCAAGTTAATGGGCTTGGTCATGAAGACTGCATCCTTGTTGGGCACTCCCACAAGTACGGCAACCCCCCATCCCTGCATGCTCAGAGAAACAGAAGCGCCATAGTCAATTAAATGAATTTCCTAGCTTCATGATGAACGCAAATCTAAGTCGAGAACTATTCATATGAAGTTATATTCTACAATAATTTCTTACTAAAATTCCGTCATCTTCTGTAGCACTAAGCCAAATATAGCTGACACTCAATAGCCTTACAACATCGTCTGAAACAACAAAGAAGAACATTTGTACGCAAGAGCAAGTTTAAAACCGTACGTCATGGACGCATTCAAAGGCAGAAACCATGGCTTCAATGACCGGGCTGCACTCCACACTCCTATCAACTCCACCGTCTGTCATATCTGCAATGACCTGACCAGAAACCCAAAATCATTAAAACGCGGCAAACTAGTTAATTCAAATTTGTGCTCATTCTACCCATAGTAAAAACTCCGGAGACAATCTTCACCTGTTGAACTGGTCTGTCGTGGTCCTTTGGATTTATGAACTCTGTCACTCCAAATTTCTTGGCTAACACCAAAAGAGGAGATCCAAGCTATAAGGTTTCTCATTCGTGGTTCATTTTCTTATAATTATCGGGAACTAGTTGAGACTGAAGAGCATACCTTCTTCAAATCTATTAGGGTTCAAATCAATCCCAATAATCCTTGATGCCCAGCAATCCTTGCACCTTCAGCAGCCTGAAGCAACATAAATGTTAAGAAGATGATTCAAAATGAGCTAAGAAGATAGAAAAAAAAAAAAAAAAAGTGGAAACATAACCTAACCTCTCATACATGGAAAATTATTAAGCTAAGATACAGTAATCAAATGTTTAGTTACCATCAAAAAAATTAACTAGGGACAAAAAGTAAATATATTTCGCTCACAGCTAAACCAACAGCTCCTAGCCCGAAGATGGCAACTGAGGATCCTTTTTTGGCTTAGCTACATTTAGTGTTGCACCCAACCCTGTTTTCCATAGAAAAGACAGAATGTTTGACCAAACTATGTCATAGAGATATAAACTCATGTTATCATTTTAAGATTTGAAACTTTACCAGTCGAAATGCCACAACTCAGTATGCATACTCTATCCAATGGGGCCAATGGATTGATCTTTGCAAGGCAGCCCGAATGGACAAGAACAGTGTATTCACTGAAAGTTGATGTTCCTAAGAAATGATTTATTGGCTTTCCATCAATAGAAAACCTAGACTTTCCATCAGTGAGCATTACCCTCTGTCAGTATTTATTCTAAGCAGGTCACACATATTGCTTTCCTCAGATTTGCAATGTGCACACTCCTTGCATTCTCCCTGTGAAAACTGGAAGCACATGGTCCCCAGTCTGGAGATCAGACACCCCTTCCCCGACACTCTCCACTATCCTGTGGAGGACAAAGGTTGAAGCAGTGAGGTTTTAGAGAAAACCTTACTGAATTAGCACAACAGCACACGTACATTTGAATTATATAATTCGATGGAATACTGGTGTACAAATAAAAGCTCGATATTCAGATATAAAATGTTTTTAAGATTACCCTGCTGCTTCATGACCAAATATGCGGGGAAACAACGCGTGCTTGGCCCTGAAAATAACACCTAACAAATTAAGGCTCCTTCCAGAAGTCAAGACGAAGAAGAATTCTTGAAAGGGTATAATGGTTTTCCACCAGAAAACTCAAACTTGGATGTTGTATTTTAACTGAAGAAATTTCTAATAATGCACCTTAAGTGTTTCCGAAAGAAGACGTGATTTTGGAGCGAATTGCTACTACATGCATTTGCCTTGCTAACTTACAGCCGAATAGCATAATATCTATACAGTAGGCAAACCCATCAAGGGACTAATACAGTACTCCGTATGTCAGTCTTATGCATCTCCACTGAATGTTACATAAGAATGAATAATCTGAAACAGACAAGGCAGATGTGCTGAAAACATGAAAAAAGCTACTACAAGTAAGAATTATATGCTATAATCCGTGAAATAACTCAAAGAGGGCAATTAATTAAAGGGAAAAAAAAAACTGACTTTAGCTTCCCAAAAATAGAGGTCAGTGTGACAGAGAGAAGTGTATTTGATCTTGATCCTGACTTCCATGGTTTGCGGTGGCGCCACCTCCACTTGCTCCATTACCAATGGCTTCCCTGCTTCCCATGAAACCGCAGCTGCAGTTACACGGCCCAAACTACATTATCTACCTTTTTTAGCTGGATAAGACATTATGCATAGTGATACATAGCAAAACCAGCATGACACATCGCAAAGGTAGGGGACACAATAAAGCCAGAAAAGAAAAGAGCAAAAATGGTAGGGGAAAAGAAGAGAAAATCGTGGAGAACTCATAGTAAATGACAGTATACCTTTACAGGGAATCACAAGACCAGCGGTGCTTGACATGGTAGAAGCTACGAAGATCTAAACTAAGCAATGATTAGGGATGGCAATGGGGGCGGGTGTCCGCGGGGGGCTCTCGGGCGGGGGTTGGGGCGGGGGGTGGGGCGGGGCGGGGGGGAATTTTTCCCCCCGCTTAGAAACGGGGCGGGGCGGGGGGCGGGGGGAGTATACCCCCGCCCATCCCCCGCCCCGCCCCCCGCAAAACAAAAAAAAATATAAAAAAATATATAATTATATATAACATGTAAGTTAATTAGTTATAAACTTATGATAATGATATTATTAGTTAGATATATTATATAATGTATATTAGTTTATGTAATATAATTGATATTATCAATTATATGAATAATTCTACATGTTTACTAATAGAATTTATTAATTAGTTATACTAAATTTACTAATATATTTATACTAAATTTCTAATTACACTTAATAGAATAACACTTTTTTCTCAAAAAAAAGCACAAACACAATAATGAATTAGTGATTGCATTTGTACTAAAAGTGAAAACTTGACTATTTTAGTTATATTTATTTCATCATATTGGATTGTATTCAAATAACTTCTGTTTGATTGTTTTTATGAGTTTCAATTGTAAAATTACAATGAATAATAATTTGGTGATGTGTTGATATTTTAGTACTTGATTATTTATTAAAATTTAATTATAATAAAATTATATAATAAAATTGTATTAACCCCACGGGGGCCCGCGGGGGAAACGGGGCGGGGGCGGGGCGGGGCGGGGGAGCAGGAGGCGGGGGACGGCGGGGAGGGGGAACTAATAGGCAACGGGGCGGGGGACGGGGGAGGGGACCCCCGCCCAACCCCGCCCCGTTGCCATCCCTAGCAATGATGATGACTGATGAGCTTTCTTTGGTCACCGGGCTTGTGTTCCAGTTAAATATGTGCATTGGATCGATGCATGGCCTTTATGTAAAGTTTGGGCCGCTGAGAATTGATTGAATCGTCAAAAGCCACTTGCCCATTGCCCATAGATTCGGCCCCTAGCAATTAGCGAGCACTAAAACTTGTTAAGCGATCAGGAAAAACTTATCCTTATCTGCCCTAGGATTTTCCATTTGAGAGCGCAGCCAAACAAGGGCAAATGACTCGCATTTGTCAATTATTCGTTGTTGGTCTTTTTGAGGCCTTCATATCACAGCTACTACCAACATTTCAATTTCTTCGATGTATTTTTTATTTTCATCATATAAAAAAAAGAAAACTATTTGTACTTCTCTAGTTGTGACTAAGAATTTTTTTTCTAATAAGAAAAAGAAGAAATTCGTTAGGAGAAAGTGAAACTAAAAAATACTAGTAGTATTTTTCCACGTTTGTATTTTTCTGTAGGTCAACAGGGAAGGGGGAATCAGTGTTGCGTGTATTTGCCTGGGGAAGTACTAGTGGCTTTTAATCGTCACGTTGCGTGTTACAATTTTTTTTGAAAGCAGAAGACTTTAATATCCGTTTGCCTTGCACTTCATCTTTGATATTGTTTTGATTCAAATGTGATAAGCTTACTACTTTTTCTAACCACACTTGGCATTCCAATTGGCAACGTCAATTGGAGACACTGAGCAAGTCATAGATTTATAAATCTATTCCATGGATTACAATTTTTATATCAAAGAATCTATTTAGCCACACAATATCATGGGAGTGTGAGCATCCTGACTGGATTTGTACTTTGTCTCGACTAGCACCTCCAGAACTCAACGATCCCACACCACCGCGCCCCACCCCACCCCACCCCCCAAATTTTGCCGTTTGATGATCTCTCCGCCTGTATTTAATCATCTACAAGCATGCTTTGCACCAAACTAAAGAAACATGTGATTACGAGGCTACGAGCAACCAACACTTTCATTCTCCGACTATACTCCTTTTATATAGCGTGATCACCATATTGTCTAATAAGCCAGCAAACGAAGCTT